AGCTGTGGCTACAACTGTAGCTGCTTCCACCAGTGTGTGAATGTGAGAGTGACTGAATAGTGGTATTGTAAAGCGCTTTGGGTGCCTTGAAAAGCGCTATATAAATGCAATCCATTATTATTATTATCATAAGAACGAAAGAATTAAAAAACCTCAAAAGCTAAGCATATTAGCCAATTATGTTGTTGTTGCATTGATCCATGGTGAGACCTTTCAGACCTGTACTATCAGTGTAAACATGTTTGTCATCTTATTTATTAAACTGGGATTTCGGGTGTATATAACTAGCATGGTGTTTATTTAATCACTTTCTATAAAAGATAGAAAGAGGCTTTGTGATGTCCATAGTAGAAAAGTGACCATAATTAGATGAGAGAATGGGGTGCTACGTTATCAACTAATACTGCCTGCCTTTGGTTAACAAACCACATCCACTGACACAGATGTGGTCACGCCTGTGATTGTGCAAAGTAATGTAATATAGTAAAAGTTTGAAATGTGACTCTATGCATACAGTTTGTCGAGTTAGAAATAACGTCACACTTCATCTTTAGACAGGAGCTTGATCAACTGATGTATCTGCTGAATGGTCAGATTTGCTTCTAGGTGGATTTTGATGAAACTTTACAGGGCAGATCATTTTTGATAATATAATAATATTTCAGTTTTTGGAAGGAGATATTAATTTTATCCCATTAGCCACACAAATTTTTTCATTATTTCCAACTTATTTACTTTATTTACTTTAGAATTTAAACCAATTGAAGGTTTTAATCTTGTTTTGTGTTTTTCACTCTGATTAACTAAATTCATAACTTAAAGAGAGGGACTTTATTTCAAACAGTCACACAGCGGTGTGCAGGTTGACAGATGATCCTTTTACCCCTGTAATGGCACTGTGACACATTCAGCTACGTTTCACTATGTACGTTAATTAAGCTCATCTTTGGACAGGTTCAAACTTCTCTGTTGTATTGTGACAAATATGTAACTTCGCTAAATACATTATCAAGTTTATGAGGATAGTTCGTGTGCTTCTCTCATAGTTTAGTCTAAGGTAACTGGACTGCAATCTTTATGTTGCTTTTTAACTTTACCTAACAGTCGAAGCATCTTTTTCAAAGCAGGCTGCAGTCATACACACATTTCAACACTCAGACATATGAACCTAAACGGAAAACAAACCATCAACTCTCTGAATAATAGACACCCCACTCTAAATCCTGAGCCAGTAAATCAACAGTACTTTGGGATCCAAGGTGAGAGCTGGATAAATGCTGCGATGCATCAGGGATCCTTGCAGGAGAAAACAAGAAACAAGAACTATTAGTTGTACCAGTAAACCCCACACCCTTCTTACAGGGTGTTAAAAAACTGGGGTTTTTTCTTCTTGAGTAATTTCAGACTTCTAAATTTAACATAGAAGAACCAACACGTGTCATTCTGCTGAATTCAACTGAGAATCTAAAGCGTCTCATTAGCACACAGAAGGGTAGCTCTCTTTTACCATGCATGATTTGACACTAAGCTTATCAGAAAGGCAAGAGCAGTTTCAACTTATCTGTTGACATTACTCAACATCCTGAAATATTTATTGTGCTTTGTTGAAAAACTAAGAGATATTAAAGAGATTATATACAAAGTCTGATACTTCTATCCACCTGTGAAAAATGTAAAGCATTTAAGACTTTACATTTAAGTTTGTATGTTTAAGTTTTTGCAATTGATGCTTTTTTATTTATTTTCTTTATCCAAAATCTAATAACTTGATTGTCTTTATCAAATGTGAGTCTTAGTCTTTAAAGTTTGCAGTTGTGTGTTGATTGTTGTTCTTTGCGTGCTGGACTGTGCGTTTGTGGTTGGTGGTTAACAGACACTAACAGTGCTGCAGTCGTCCAACATCCTGTTTCTCATCATCAAGAAAAAGTTTTAACGTGAAGAAAAAGAAGAAAGAACTAAACTAACTTCAGTGTTTGCTTGCATCAGCTTGCATTTTAACTGACTTCACATTTATGTGACATCAATATTTGAAATTACATTTACTTTGGTTTTGTCCTTTATGTATGGTTGACTGTGCAGAAGGTGATCCAGCTGTAATCTACTCAGGAGTGAGAAATGACGACATCAATTATGAACAAATCGTCATCACAGACAAGCAAGAAAAATCAAAGACGAGAGGTACAGCAGCTCTTCTTTGTCTCCATCCTTCACTTCTACAGCCAGACTGGGGCTGTGGTTTAGCAGGGTTAAGCTTCACCATGTTAGTCATGCTAGCATCTTCTAATTAGCATAAGGCTGATGAAAATACAATGGATGGATGGTTAACGTTTATTACAGTTTATCGGCTGCACACACAAAATCACACACATGTCACCCACATTCTGGAAAATGCAATCAATAGGATAACTGCATTATGCACAAAATTATAATTAATTAATTCAAACAAGATCATATTTTCATGCAAAATGATTTGTTCTCATAAGATCATCCATCCATCATTTCTTACTACTTATGTAGGTGCAGATCACCGAGGCAAGAGCTTAAACAGAGAAGCTCATAGCTCTGCTCTGAAGCTCTTCTGGGGAAAAATCACTGCGTTCCCAACCAGCTGAAAGACATGTTCTGAGAAAACGGTCCAGTCAGACTAATGGGTGGCTGTATTTGGATTCAAAATGTACAACCCAGGAAATTGCTGAATTCTGTTTAACAAGTTTATTTACAAAACTTCAACAACAACCTCCTGAGACTGGGACCAAACAGGTTGGTGAGACTAATTCAGAGCATAGTGTGAATAATGCAGTTGTGCTCAGTGTTTACTTGGTATTTCTCCACAGAGTGGTGGAGGGTGGTGAGTTAAGCAGGTGAATCTCAGTCCTCTTTCCAATCTAAATTCCAAGGTGAATCACGCAGAAGGTGATTTTAAAATCAGACACTAGTACAATGAAAAAACAAACAAACAAACAAAGGAGCTACTCCCAGAAGTTGTCTAGTAGCGTTTTGTGGGAGAAACGTTTCGTCACACATCCAAGTGACTTCTTCAGTCTCAGCTGACTGCAGGTTTCCCCAATCTTATAAACAGTACATTTGTATAATGACTGAAACCAGCCCACTGAAGGAACATTGGGCTGCAGATCAGTTCCTTAATCTTAATTAATCAATTAACCACTGATCAATGGCCATGAGTATCATTCACAGAGAGTTGGGGAATGGCTGCAATCACAGCATTGTAAGATGATGAAAGATGTACCCTTAGGCCCCCTCCTCGATTCAGAGATGGTCTTTCCCTTTTCACGTAAATGGCCTCCTTGACTCCGCCCTCAAACCAGCGTTGCTCCCTGTCCAGGATGTTACATCCTCATCATTGAAAGAGTGTCCACTGGCCTGTAGGTGTAAATAGACTGCAGAGTCCTGGCCTGACGAGGCAGCTCTTCTGTGTTGTGCCATCCGCTTCGCCAGAGGTTGTTTAGTTTCCCCGATGTATAAATCCTGGCAATCCTCCTGCACTTCACAGCGTACACTATGTTACTCTGTTTGTGTCGGGGACCCAGTTTTTGGCGCAGCGTGTTTTGGGGTTTAAAACCCACAGAGATGCAGTGTTTAGAAAAAATGTGTCTCAGCTCATCCACTCCTGACACATACAGGATCACTAAGGATTCAACTGACAACTGCTACTTAGGCAAGGCAAGGCAAGTTTATTTGTATAGCACAATTCAACAACAAGGTGATTCAAAGTGCTTTACTTAAGGGACCAGTTGTCCTTGCAGCCCGATTCAGAGAGGGAGTGGTAGGAGTGCTGCATTGAATGTCTACACTAATTTCTGTTGGAATTAATAAAGGCTTGCAAAAAGTGTTTTTCTCTGTTTCTGGCAGGACCGTGGGTAGGTTCACTTGCTACTAGGCTGCTTGTGGCCTGTTGGCTGCTGTAGATGTTGTGGTGCTGTCTTGATTGACACACCTCTGCAACATAGCCCGGAGCTCTGGATTGTGCCTCTGGATTGCCAGCCTAGAGTGGTGGTTCCCCTTTTTAAGAGAGCAGTCCATAGGCTCCAATCACACATTCCTCAGCCTATCTTGGGAGGTCTACACCTGAGTACTGAAGAGGAGTCTTTTAGTTAAAACTTGGATTGGATTGGACTGGACCAGCTCTCTGTCCCCTTGAGAATATCCCAGGGAGCTTCTGTTTAGAGTTTTGTCCCAGTGAGCAACACTTAATAAATGGCAGACTTGTGCTTGTGTTTCAGGAGGACATCTAAAAAGACACTGACTGAACAGACCAATCAGTCAGTTCCCAATTTCTATTTTTATTTTAAATTCTGTGTGGAAACCACAGAAGTTACTTCCTCTTGCTGATTCCAGATAACGGTAGTCTGATGCTGATGACTCTAACCACTTGTCTTCTGCTTTGGGCTGTAACAGTGTTCATGTTGTGAGAACGAGTTTGCATGTTGCTCTGTGGTAAAATGTATCAGGCTGTCTGATAGAAGACAGCACCTTTGTGGTCGTCTGTCTTCCTTTTTTTACAAACATCCCCCCAAAGTTCTTTGTGGTTACTGTGTTTCACAGCAGAGCTGCTAAGAAGCTGTTAGAAAAAAACACAGTGAGAATCTGCTGCTCTTTATAAAATCGATCACTTAATCTCTTCATAATCAAAATAAAAACTGTTTGCCATAGAAAAAATGACACGGCTGTAGTTTTAACTTCAGTGTTTTACTCTGCAGAGTGCAATCCAGCTACAATCTACTCAGAAGTGAGAGCAGGCGGCGTCTGCCATGGACCGAAAACCACCAGATCAAAGAGGCCCAAAGGTACAGCTGCTCTTTAACTTTGTACAGAGCCGAGCAAACCACGTGTTCACTGAGGCTCAGTAAGTCTAATCTCTGTCAGAAAGGAAACTGTAAGTTTGCTTGAACTGTTTGTTTGTGTTCACACTTTAAACCAGAGCCAGACACCATCTACTCTTCACTGAAGTAGTCCACCAGTCCAACCACTGACGTCCAGCTGCTGGTCTCTAACTGGTCCTCCCAGCACCTCAGACCAGAGGACATCTATAGATTTTCACTGAGATAATTCAAAAATAACTTCCTATTTTAACTTGTTTTAAATGTTTTTTTATTGCAAATGAGAATATAAATATGTTAATATGATTCATAACTCTATTATTAATATCTTTATTCATGTTTGTTGGTTCCTGCAGTGGGAAATTATTTTCAGCATTAATAAACTTCTCTTCTAGTGTGTTTTTAGTGTTTTTCTCACGTGGTCGTGGGCTTCAAAAATATGTGAAATGGAAAATGTGACTTGTTTGGTTGTGGCTAATCGATGCACACCTCCTTACATGCAGAGAAGCTGAACAACCACACGCTGAAAACTGCACAGTGGCTGAAAACTGCACAGAAACACTTCACCACGTGTTTTGCACGTTTGAGGCCGAAGAATTTATTTATTTAGTTTTATTTTTTATTTTACTGAGAACCAAGCAGCAGCAAGTTATATGGCAAAAGTATTCATGTTTAATTATGTTTGAAAATTTAATAAAAAAATATGCTAAAATTTTCTGGTAGCAGCTTCTCAGCAGAGAGACGTTTTTATATCTGATAAAGTAACTCAGACTAACTTCCTGAACCAGCACAGGGCCCTTCCTGTTTAACCTCTCACAGAAGCTTAAGATGACCACAAGTCACTATCAAAATCTTTTTCCATCTACTGGTTGACCTGCTTCATTAATGACATCAGTTTAAAGCCACGAGCGAGACAGGGCTACTGCTTTAACTGTTTTCAAAGCAGGAGATAAGACAAAGACTTGGTGTTCAAACTGCAGAACAAAGCAAAGACTGAGCAGGTTTGGTTTGTTTAAGGCGGCTACCAGAAACAACAGGAAATGAAAGAGACGAGCACTACAAACACCTGAATAAGAAGACCGACTTTTAGCCAGTGACTGAGAGTTACAGTCGTTAAGATGTGAGCTCACTGTTTGTTACAGGAGACATTTCTCCTCACAAACAGCAGCCGCAAAAAAAAAGTAAAATTGAAAGGTTTAAAAGTAGAAATAAAGGCTGTCAATATTTTAATTTTTAACAGGGATGTTGATGAGTGAATGAATTTAAATTAGAAAAAAAGAAGAAATTTTCACATTTTCTAAATTTAATTATTGCTAATCATGAAGTCTGGTTCTGCTGCTTCCTGTTAAAAGCTAGTTCTTCTTTCCCACAGTCACCAACCACTGCTCACAAAGCATTTCATGATTGGTGAGCTTTTCCCTTAATGTTTATGGACTTTAAAATTTAAGGAAACTTTGAACTTGTGTAGAGAGAAAAAAATAATACAGTTATTATTAATTCTTCTTCTTTTGGTAAAAACTGGAAAATGCAAGAAAATATTTCACAGATGATTTCTCAATAGTCACAGATGGTGTTAGCACACAGCTCACTTCCTCTTTGCCAGGTCCCTCACTGTGGCTCACTTTTCCGACTAAATTATAAAGGCTTCAATGACGGGGCTGTATGTAGAACATGTAGTGCATAACTACAAGAAGAGCAAAACAACACAATTTATTTTAACTCATATCTGACAGGAGTTGGAACAAGACATGAGTGACATTTTAGACATTTGCTCAACATCTGTTTTATATTTTAAATATCTTGAACATTTAGTCACAGCTGCATTCATTAAACTGTGATTTAAACAAAATATATGTTTTAATATTTTGTGAGTGCATTCGTTTCAGTGTTATATGTGCTGCAGTTGTGGAGTTGAACAGTTCTTTACAACATTCTTGTGTTTAACCGATTTCAGGCTCGGTCCACTAAAACAACACAGCAGTAAACTTGGATCCTTACAGGTTTTTCTGTTTGTGGAGGTTTGGATGCACACTTGCTCACCACCTCTCTTCTCTCTTTGTCACGGTCGCTGACCAGTGTTTTTGGTTTTTGCACTTTTACTTTTGATTTGATTGTGAATTATGAGGGTTTGTGTTTTGGTTTCTCTGTGTTTATTCTGTGGTCCCTCTGTTCTGTGTCGTCCCTGCCTGTGTATCGCCTGTAGTGTAGTCAGGTCTCTGTGTAAAGCCACATCTCTGAGTCTGTCTTCTGTGTTTTGAGCTTCCTGTTTTGTTGTGATGTTGTTACTCCCAGCTGTGCTCTCCCTCTGTGTATTTTAGCCTTGTGTCTGCCTTTGTTGCTGGTTTGTTTGCATTATTGCCCTCCGTCATCCTGTGTGGTTGCGCTGCATCTGGTTTCAGGTTAGCTTTATTCTTAGTTTTCCCAATTTAGGTTTTGTCAGTCTCGCACCTTTTGTTGTATGTCATCCTCCTCAATAAAGCTCACTCTCATCAGAAGCCGTGCTTGCATTTTGGGTCCTTAAATAACTTACACCATGCTGGCCGTGACACTCTTATTCACTCTTACAGACTGACTGCAGCACTATTTACTTACAAAATATTCTCAGAGCAATAAACTCCTGGAAAGCTTGTGTTGTGAAATCACTCATCCAATTGACTTCTTCTGTCTCGGCTGACTGCTGGATGGTTGAGCATGCATCAAGACAAGACGCAGTAAAAAACGAAAAAACAGAACTCATGAAGTTAAAATGGGAGGCAAGAAACAGTAACTTTCCTGTCACTGTCTAACCTCAGAAAGATTATCACCAGTGAAGCTCCAGCACAGTGTCACCGCATCGATTACACACTAACTTTACACTTAACTCTTTAACGCCTGAACCATGAAATACTTGCCAAAAATTCTAATCCCTCCCTCCTCAAAAGAAATGAAACTTCTGACAAATTGAAATAAACAAATAAATTAATAAATATGAATTTAAAAATGAGCTTTAATTTGTATCATATTTCGTAACATCCGGCTTTATTATTTTATTTCGTTATTTCAGGGGCAAAAAGTCGCATTGACGATGTAGAAGTGTCAAACAGTCACGAATCAGATGCGACTCTTTGAGAGTCTTTGCTCTGTGTTCATAACTCACCAACACTTGAACCACTTTCTGAACCAGCGAGCGACATGACCAGTGACGTCACTAACCCTTAAATCCAGCTTCTCTACAGCCTTCCTGGACTCCTCGACACGCGCTCGGCGGAGTACGCCCCGCCCCCTCGGGTGGTTAAGGTTGTAGAAACGTCACATTATCATTAAAGTATTATTAAGCACGCGATCCAAACGCGAGTGATTTCTGCGAATGAGTCCACTTCCTGTGGTGTGAAACTCTTCTTTCATACTAGAATGAACAGCCTCGCCTCTGTCAGCGCGCCCAGCGTGGCTGTGGCTACAATGTAGCTGCCATCACCAGTGTGTGAATGACGTATTTGTTCTGGCGTGGAAGGGATTTGTAGTTTTTAAACGGTTCCACCAACTAAAGGAATGGAGTGAAACAGAGACTGTGATCGTGAACTCTGTGTTTTAAAGGATCAGATCAGAGCTCGGCCGTGGCTGTGGGTGCAGCAGGAAAATGAACAGCCTTTACAAGCCAGAGCCCACAGACAGGAAACAAAGACACAGACTCATACTTTCAAATGAAGACAATCATTTCTCTAAATGAAGATTTTGGGCTGTTTTAAAACAATCAAAATAGTTTTAATGTTCACCGTGTTTCGGCCTGCATTCGTTTTATTTCAGACTTCAGGATGATCATGAATGGATTTTACTTCAGTCACAGAGTCTGAATAAATGAGCAGATATCCTGGATCGTCTCTGCAGCAGGAACAGGAAGCAGGAGAGATGATTTCATTTCTGTGTGTAGCTCATTTATTTAAATCTGCAGCGTTCTTTTGTTCATTATGTTCATCCATTAGTAAATAAAACTGCATTTCTAAAATAAAATGTTTTAAAACTGTTTTATTATTTTGTCTGGTCTTTTTGTTCAGCAGCATTCATGTTTTAGCACAAATCATATAAAAAGCAGAAATACTATATGTGGTGTCAGCAGGCTGAGCAGGTCTTCTTTGTGTGTTCTGTGTATCGAGCAGAGCAGAATGAAGGATGATGGCATTGTATTCATTTTCTACATCACTAAATAAACAAACAAACATTCCTGTTACAAAGAGTTTGTGTTTCATTATGTGTTTTTTAAAGTACGGCTCAGAGAATCGAAACGACTCTGAAAACATGCTGTGAATAAAATAGTCAATGAAAACGTTTAAAGACCATTTTAAACCGAATCACTGAACAGAAGCTGCTCCTGATAGTTTTAGTTTTCATTTCTAAGATGTCTCTAAGAATCGATTCATTACTGATGCTCAGCAGAGAAACACAAAGTTAACCAGCTCGGCAGTGACATCACTGGAATGTGGCGTTAAACACCTCGAAACAATAAGTTGGCGTGACTCCATCAGTTTTCCTCTGTTTATACCTGCACCGTAAAGGATCCACATGTTACTTCCTGGTATATTTTGGACGTACCGAGTTTAACTACAATGACTCTGTTAACATCAGCTGGTCTCTGCTTAACTCTGCTGTTTGTCTGTGTGGTGGATTTGGCCTCTTCAGGTGAGCTCTCCTTCAGGTACTACTTTCTGTTTGAACTTCATGAACGTTGCTCTCGTTTACTGTAAAACTGTTAAATGCCCCCAAGACAGTCTATCATTATGTCCTTGAAGTGAACAGAAAGGGTTAAACTGAAAGATACTGTTTTATTCTCAGAAGGATAGATTAAAAAAAAACATCAGCTTTTCTGCAGGTCATGTAAGAGTCTCAGGACTCTTGTGCTACGAGGCAGGGGTGCAGTCGGGTAAACAAAAAGCCCCTCTCCCCTATTTTTACCCGGGCCGCCATGAGTGATGTCACGAGGTAAAGGAAATGTGTGGAGGAGACTTTATAAAGAGTAGCTCAGAGAATCTGACAGATTAATAATCTGGACGTGGCTCGTGGTGTTTGCTCCGCTTAAATGAAACTCTTGTTCTCCTGTTTGTTTGGTTGGTTTGTGCAGGTGTGAACACAGCATTCACACTCAGGTGTGACCACAACAACCGATGTGTGAAAAAAACAAAACAAATCAGTTTACAAACTCTAACTTGCTGACTGCAGGTGTGAAAACGC